GTGCGAGGGGCCAGTGCGCCCGAGAGTGTGCGAGGGGCCAGTGCGCCCGAGAGTGTGCGAGGGGCCAGTGCGCCCGAGAGTGTGCGAGGGGCCAGTGCGCCCGAGAGTGTGCGAGGGGCCAGTGCGCCTGAGTGTGTGCGAGGGGCCAGTGCGCCCGAGAGTGTGTGTGAGGGGCCAGTGCGCCCGAGAGTGTGTGTGAGGGGCCAGTGCGCCCGAGAGTGTGTGTGAGGGGCCAGTGCGCCCGAGAGTGTGTGTGAGGGGCCAGTGCGCCCGAGAGTGTGTGTGAGGGGCCAGTGCGCCCGAGAGTGTGTGAGGGGCCAGTGCGCCCGAGAGTGTGTGTGAGGGGCCAGTGCGCCCGAGAGTGTGTGTGAGGGGCCAGTGCGCCCGAGTGTGTGTGAGGGGCCAGTGCGCCCGAGTGTGTGTGAGGGGCCAGTGCGCCTGGCCCCTCACACACACTCTGGCGCACTGGCCCCTCACACACACTCTGGCGCACTGGGAACAGTACCAGTGGACAGGGAGAGGTTTATGATGTCTGTGAATAGAGGGGCAAGGAGGTGGAGCTGGGAGGTAAGGAGAGGGGTAGGGATGGAGTCGAGGGAGCAGGTGGTTGGTTTCATGTGGGTTATAGTGGTGGTGAGAGAGGAGTAGGAGACGGGTTCAAAGGTGTGGAGAGAGGGATGGATAGGGCCTGGGTTGGGAGGGGGAGATGGGAAGGCTGTAGTAGACGGAAGGCAGAGGCAGCTGACCGGATCCCATCAACTTTGGATTCACGGAAGTCTAGCATTGGAGGTGAGGCATTGGAGGTGAGGATGGGCGAGGCGTGAGAGGGTGGGCGGAGGAGCTGGTTGATGATGGAGAAGAGGAGCTTGGGGTTGTCCTTGGCCTGCAAGATTGTCTTGAAGTAGAACGACGGTTTAGCGGAGGTGAGGATTTGATAAGTCCAGCCAGATCTGCTGATGGACTGTTAAGTTTGATTTAAGCCAGATGCATTCAGCGGCACAAATTTGTGCTTTAAGGGAGCAGCGGTGGCTGGTGTACCATGGTGACTTACGTGAATAGGAGACAGAGAAGGGAGAGAGAGGGGAGCAAGGGAATCAAGAGTGGAGGAAAGGGAGCTGTGGAGAAGAGTGACCGAGGAGGATAGGTCATTGCGGGAGGAAGCCCAGAGGGGAAGGAGTTCAGATGACTCCAAGGAAGCTGAGAGGGAGGGGAGTGGAGATTTGTTTCTGGGGCGGTAGGAGATGAAAATGGGTTGGGTGGAGGTGGGGAGAGGGATTGAGGAGTTAAGGTAGATGAAGTGATAGTCTGAGATGGCTTTGTCGATGATGGTGATGCCCGAGGTGGTGAAGCCCCGAGTGATCACCGGGTTGACTGCGGTGACTGTGAACTTGGGTGGAGGAGTCGATGTAGAGGGAGAGGTACCGGAGAGTGCGTGTGAGGGGCCAGTGTACCATCAGAGAGAGTGTGTGTAAGGGCCAGTATACCATCAGAGAGAGTGTGTGATAGGCCAGTGTACTAGACAGTGCGTGTGAGGGGCCAGGGGTACTGGAGAGTGCATGAGAGGTCAGTGTACCAAAGAGTTTGTGTCAGGGTCCAGTAATCAAGAGAGTGTGTGTGTGAGAGGCCAACGTATCAGAGAGTGTGTGTGTGAGAGAGGTCAGGCAATGTGTGAGAGGCCAATGTACCAAAGAGTGTGTGTGAGAGAGGCCGGTGTACAACAACAACAAAATTACATTTGTATAGTGCCTTTCACATCAGGTGGACGTCCCAAGGCGCTGGACAATCAGTGTTTCAGACCCGAGCTGGTGGTCGGGATCAGGGAGGGCAGAGGCCGGGGCGGGTGAAGGAGGGTTTACCGAAGACACGGTCAAAGAGGAGGGTATTGAATGAGGCAAAGGAGGTGGCGAAGCGGAGATACTGCGGGGTGGAGTTCCCGAGGGCAGAGTGGCTGTAGGCCCGCCCGCAAATGGTAGGGCAGCTGAGGCGGGGGACGTGAAGCAGCTGGAGCCTGTTGAGCAGAAGGAGCGGGCAGGTTGGTAGGGAGGAGCAAGGCCATGGAGGGCTTTGAAAGTGAGGACCAGGAGTTCTGGATGATCTGCAACTTATGGAGGGAGGAGTTGGGAAGGCCAACAAGTAAGGAGTTTGCGTAGTCGATCTTGGATGTTATGAATGTGCGTATGAGAGTTTCGGCGGCCTGCGGAGTGAGACAGTGGCGCAGCTGAGCAATGTTGCGGAGGTAAGGAAAGGCGGAGCGGGTCACAGCACGGATGTGGGATATGAAGGACAGTTGAGAATCGAACAGGATGCTGAGGTTCTGTATTGGCTTCATGGGATGTAGAGTGCATCCATGGAGGGAGATGCTGTCCATCCCCGAGGTATGGAGGTGCTGACAGGAGCCAAGCAGGAGGGTTTCGGTCTTGTTGACATTCAAATGCAGAAAATTGGCTCTCATCCAGGTTTGATCTGACAGGCAGCTGAGAGTTGGGTGTCATCCACAACCTTGGAAGTTAACCCCATGTCTGCAGATAATGTCTGGTACGGTCAGAGGCAGGCAATGTGGCAGAGGTGGAGGAAAGCAGTCCTGATCAGGGACTGGATGTGGGAAGGAAGGACAGCTGTGTGTTGAACCTGATGCCTAGACTGTGCACTGGTTTGGTGAGTCTGAGGGATAGGCCGGCGAGGTTGAAAATGTCAGAGCCACAGAACAGAAGACGTTTACGGGGACCAAATAATATGGCTTCTGTCTTGTTGACATGATGTACATGCTGAAACTAGTGCTGGATTGTTGGAAGTGCTGTCCTTAGGATGACATTAAAATAAGGCCCTATCTGCCTGGTGGATGTTGAAAGATCTCATGGCACTGTTCAAAAAGAGTACGGTTTCCTCTGAGTATTCTCCAACAATTGCCCAGATAAATTCATCACTTTATGGATCTTGGGACATGGTTGGGTGCAAATTGGTCTGTTTCCATGCTGTATGACTGTGAAATTCTTATGCTAAGATGTTATTATCAAATCCAAATATTATTTTTTATCTAGAACAGCAGGGGTAAAGGATTGGATCCAGTTTACTGAGCAAAACTATCACCAACTGAGCCGCAGAGAGAATGAACTACTGTATTAATATTGCAAGAGGCTGAGTCATTGGGAGTTTCTGGTCTTTTGATCATATTTATGACGTGTTTGACTTACAATTCAAGTAGAAAAACCCTGCAGGTAGTTGCTGAAATCCACCTTAATAATAATAATAATAATAATCCTTGCATTTGATATAGCGCTTTTCACGTCGGGAGGACGTCCCAAAGCGCTTCACAGAATATACTGTAAAGTGAATTGACTGTATATTTGTTGGTGAGGTATTGGCCGCCAATTGCGCACAGCAATGTCCCACAAACAGTCGTAGACAGCAATGTCCCACAAACAGTCGTAGATTGAAAATGACCAATTTATTATTGTTTTTTTTGGGGGGGGGTTTTTGGAGGGATTAAAGGGGATTGGAGGGATTGGAGGGACCTTGTTTGCTTTGTAGAACCGGAGTTGTCACATGTGAAACGGCTGTACAATGCGCAGTCTCGCATGTGTAGTGTTGTTTTCAATTTGTGACTCGAGTTCTTTTCTGGCAGGTCAGCACACTCCCAGACAAAAAATATACCTGGGTGATTTTTATCTGGGTGATTGTGGACCATGACACGAGGAGAAACTCCTCTTTTCGAATTGTGTCATGGAATATTTAATACCTCATTGAACAGGCTGACAGGTCCTTGGGTTAACGTCTTATCCAAAGAATGGTTCCCCTGACAATGTAATGCTCCCATAGCACCACATGCAAGTATCAGCCGAGATGATGAGCTGAAAGACCTGAGGTGGGTCTTGAATCCACAACCTTTTGAGTTGGAGGTAAAATTGCTACCAACTAAGTCAATGAAACATACTGTGTTTCTTGCCTTCATATTAGTAATTTTGTGAAAGTTGGACTTTTCAAATAGTTTGCCACTCAAGTTAATGCCATGTCTACAGCCTATCAAGCAATGATTCTAAGCTACTTCGCAGTGTCTTCAAGGTTGCCTAACAATGTACCTTTCTTTACTCAGATTACAGGCTGAAGACTTGCTTTTTAGCATCCATCTATGCCATTATTGCCAGCTCAGCTGTTAGAAGGGGCATGGTAGCATTCTGGCCTTCCAATTTCCCTTCTCTTTTTGAGGAAAAATAGACTCTGCTCAGGCATGTCCCTGTGGTGACAAGGTTGAGATAGGGAATTGTCTTTTTCTGGATTTTGGGTTAAGTGTGGGTCGAGTCCCAAAGTACTTATACCACTGCTGCCCTCAACAACTTGTATTCTAAATTGCAGTAATCCAGTGTTACTATTTGTCTAGGGCCACAATCCCAAGCAAAGCCTTGTTCTTATATATGAAATCTAGGAATATTGCTTCAAAGAACTTCTGGATGTACAGATTTTTTTCTCTTCTCCACGTCTCCTGTCTTTCTGAATTATTTCAATGTATGGCTTAGTGATTGACTTAAATGGAAAACAGGTATTTATGATTACCAAGTTTATACAGCTTCCAAGTATTCATTTTATGGGGCAATTCTTGGTTTCACCCTGACTGGATGTAAACATATCAGAACTGATCCTGCCTGTCTTGTTTTTTCTGTCATTCACTAACCAGTTTAACAAGCTATCTCCATTAATCCAGTAAGTGTAAACATCTATATTGATCTCTAAAGTTGGATTGTATAAACCAAATGTATATTTCCTCTGAAACTTGAACGTCACTTCCCAGGCATCCACACAGGATAGTATGTGTGTGCCTGTAGCTATAATATATATATCTTATATATTGTACACTTAATGTGTAAAACAGTCCTTTTTGTGCAACCTTTTTCAAAATGTTTCAAGAAAGGTTTAAGGTCCTTTAGTTAAAAGTTGATTAAGTTGCTTTTGCCGGAAATAAAGTACAGGCTATTAAAAAATTGGCATAATTTCCTTTTCTTGTACAGATTACCTGTTCAGTTTTGCCACTGCTGCTTCTAAAAAGATATCGGAATCAGTTGTTGAAACAGCACAGACCATAAAGAAATCAGTAGAAGAAGGAAACATTGATGGTGTTATTGACAAGGTACAGTAAATGTTTTGGTGATAACATTTCCTAAATATTGCACCTAGAATATTGTGTGCAGTTTTGGTCTCCTTATTTAAGAAAGGACATACTCGCCTTAGAGAGGGTGCAGCGTAGATTCACTGTTTCTGGGATGAGGGTGTTGACCTATGAGGATAGGTTGAGTAAGCTAGGTCTATATTCTCCAGAATATAGAAGAAATAGGGGTGATCTTATAGAAACATATAAGATTCTTATGGGGTTTGACAGAGTAGACAGTGCGAGACTGTTTCCCCTGGTAGGAGAATCTATTACTGGGGATCACAGTTTTAAGATTAAGGGTCAGCCTTTTTGAACAGAGTTGAGGAAACACTTCTTCACTCAGAGGGTAGTAAATTTATGGAATTCTGTACCCCAGAAGCCTGTAGATGCTCAGTCCTTGAATATATTCAAGGCAGATTGATGATTTCTAAGGATAGAGGGATTAAGAGATATGGGGATAAGGCGGGCAGGTGGAGTTAGGTTAGAAGATCAGCCATCATCTTATTGAATGGCGGGGCAGGCTCAAGGGACCAAATGGCCTACTCCTGCTCCTAATTGTTATGTTCCTAAATAAATGTTAAAATAGACCAAATGTGTCATGCAGTATTGATGTTTTATGGCAGCCTTTAATAGGGCATGAAAAGGAGATTGTAAGATTGTAAAATAAAATGCTTAGGTATTATGATTGTGTTTGAATATGAGAGTAGGAACATTTTAAATTACTGTTTCTTTGCATTCTGAGTCTCCTGAACTTCAGGCAAGTCGGAATGATCAGACAGATTTTGACTTCAGGGAGCAGCTTGACTAGGCACTGAATCTTTAATCCGTCTCTGCTAACTCACATTAGCATAATCTAAAAAACTTACATAAGATATTTAGGATGGATTCTATTTTCATCAAAAGCTATTTTTTTGCATAGAAAGAAGATGACAATCAATTATAATGTTGCTAATCCATCAAAAAAATCAATAAAAGCAATCACATTTAGGGGGCAATTTATAAAAAGGATATGTTTATTGCAAAATACTAATATGTAATACAATTCATCCACCTTTTCAGACTATACTTGGCGATTTCAAAAAGGAACAAGACAAGTTTGTACAGGAAAAGAATATAAAGAAGACAGGTGATGTATGGACTTTTCTGGTGCTATGGAATATTCAATACAAGATTTAGGATAGCTGAGTATCAATTGATTTGATATTTTTAGAAAATTTGAGGCCAGCTGTAGTACACTGCTACCTGAGGCTACAATTGACTAAGCATTGACCAGAGGTCGAATCACATTCAATTAAATACATGGTTTCATGAAATCATTCTATGCAGGGCACTTAATTAGCAATCAGCAACAAACATGAGTATCCTGCTGGGAACAAAAGTCATGTTATTCTGAAATGTGTGCTTCAATTTGGTCTAAAGCCAAACATAATGTATGAAGTGCCTTTAATCCTTGCATTTAATACAGCGCCTTATCACGTTTTCCATACATGTAGAAACATGTATTTGACACATGCAGAAACCCATCACCAAGTTTAAGATTATTCAAACCAGACAGAGTTCTGTGCATTCCACCAACACATGGAAATACCCGCGTCTGGAATGGAATATGCACTGTCTCCTCAGAGGGACACACACCTTGCTTACCTAATTCTGGAGGCCTTCAAAGCCTCCCACGGCCTCGCTCCTTTCTACCTGCTAATACTCTGGCCTGCTGAGCGGAGGGAGTGGCCTGCTCCACGTCCCCTGCCCAACCCGCTCCACCAACGGCAGGTGGCCTTCAGCCTTTCTGCCATCCCGCAGTCCCTTCGCCTCACTTTCCCTTGCCTCCTTCAAGGTAAGTCTCAAGACCTTTCTTTTCAACCATGCCTTAAGTCACCCTCCTACCCCTACCCTCCCTGTCCTCCAGCCCTCCTGATCCCAACCCCCTGCGTGGGTCCAAATCCCTGAATGGGAAGAACCCCTGCCTCCAGTGATTGCTCTCTTTAAATCCAGCCGAAAAACCAGGGAGGTGATCTGTTATCAGCAGAGACCTGAAGAAGAGACCTCTTTGACCGAGCCTTCAGCTCCCCTCTCGACTCTCTTCCCCCTCCTCACTCCCTCCCTTCCCTCCCCTCACCATTTCCCCCCTGCTCGGGTCATGACCCAACTGTGCAGCGCCTTGGGACGTCCTCCTGACGTGAAAGGCGCTTTATAAATGGAATCTTGTTGTTGTTGTTGAATGTTTCCAAAATTCTGCATAATCTTAAAGCAATCAATTTGACTTAAAATCCCAGCAAATTCTCTCTCTGTTATATTTTAAGGTAATAGATTTTGGGCTGATGTGATGAAATATTTTAAGTAATGATGTTTTTGTTCTCTCTACAGATGCTGCAGTACCTCCATGGGTTGGCTACAGTGAAGAAGAAACCATTCAACAGCAAATACTAGCCTTATCAGCAGTTTGTTATTTCTTTTGTTTTAATACAATATTTAAGGCTAATTTGGTTGGGTTTGTGTAAAACTATTCTGCAATCACTGAAACTAAAGCCTTAGTCTGTCTTCAACGAGTAGGTTCAGGTATCAGCAGTACTTTGTTTAACTTGGATATCTTGTTACATCCTCATCCACAGAATAACACCATATTTTCAAAAACGCACCAGAATCCACATCTAAGATGAGACGGATGCTAAGTCACATCTAATAGAAAACCAGATAATTATCCGGGGAGGAAGTAGAAGGCAGAATTTAAATAATTTGCTTGGACTTTTTATCTATTTTATTATCTACCACCAGTTCTCCTAAATGCCGATGAGCTTTTACAAGCTGATCTTGTTTCCAGATCAGTGACAACAGTCAAAGATAGCATGCTGACACTCCAGTGCAGCACATTATTGCAGGGGTCCACTGTAGATCATGAGAGAGTAGTAATTCCTAACTGAATGGTTGTGGTCTGAATATATATTTTAAACTGAGTTTTTTTTCTTTACTTAGGACAGAAGGAACTTTTTGCGAGACCCACCAGCAGGAGTCCAGTTTCATTTCGACTTTGATCAGATGTATCCAGTTGCAGTTGTAATGCTTCAGGAAGATGAGCTACTTAACCGAATGCGCTTTGATCTTGTTCCAAAGCTGTAAGTATACCTATGCACTTTTTTAAGCACTTTATTTAAAATGGTAATTCTTAAATAACACACAAATATACACATATATATAAATTATAAAATAACTAAGCTACAATACAAATGTACATTTATATAAAGGCTTTCACATAAGGAGGAAATCCCAAAGAGTTGACTGGCTGGGTACCCAAGCTGGGGGTGGGGACTGAGAAAAGTGGGGAGGGGAAAGATGACAAAAGCACAGGCAAAGAGGTAGTTCTTGAGACAGACCTTGAATGAGGTGAGGGAGGGATCGCATCAAGCGGACTCCAGGATGAAGTTCCAGAGAATTGGGGAACATTTTCTTAAAAGCAAAACTTCCATTTAGATCTTTCTTGTGTTATTGGCTTTGTTTTCATGAAATTCTGCCAGGTTTTAGTCCTGAAGAACTATGCAAATGAAACACAACACCTGTTGTTTCCTTCACACCTAAAATGAACTGCTATTTCTACATAATCAAAGGACCCACTAAGGCACATTACACCTAATTTGGCAGTTTTATATGCTATTGAATATTCCCATTTAGTTAAATCAGAATAGAAAATTATAAATTGTTGATTTTGAGATGTATTTTATGATTTATTTATAAAAGGCTAATAAATATCCTGTCCCCAGTCCTCTACAAAACTACATTTGACCGTTACATGTGCCAGCAAATACACAGTCACTCCACCTTACAGTATATTCTGTGAAGTGTTTTGAGGCATCCTCCATATGTGAAAGGCTTTATACCAAATGTAAGCATGATGACAATGATTATCCAGGGGGAAAGGTTGAATAATTGCATTTTCTCTTCATCTGCCCCACCTGAGAGGAACTCAATTTTCCTTTTTCTGAGAATAAAGCACAGAATGCTTTGAAGCCTTGAAGTCTGTTCTCTCCACAAACCACGTACAATATTTTCTATCATACCTAATCTCTTGAAAAATACTGTAAAGTTTCTCCAACCCCATCACTACAAAGTGACACTAAAAAAACACACCTTTACAATTCTACATTACTCATTCGAACAGTTACCTTGCATGATGTTACCATGGTCCCAGTAGGTCAGCGGCTACTCTTCCATAGAGTGTTTTATCTGCTTTGTCTGTGCTTATTCTTGTAACCATTAATACTCTTCCAAATCAAATATTCATTCAGCTTTTGGTTAAAATCTTGACCTTGCTCATGTTGATACAACCCTTCTACAGTTTAGTGTTCTGTTGGTAGGATACCATATTTATAGAATCGGCATAAAAATAATTACATTTAGGACTTTCTGAGATTTTACTTATTGTTCACCTACTCCCCTTGCCCCTCCCAGTGTGAAAGAAGATGTATTCTGGAGGAATTATTTCTACCGAGTGTCACTTATCAAACAATCAGCACAGCTCACTGCCCTGGCTGCTCAACAGCAGGCAGTTGACAAAGAGGACAGAGATGATAACAGTCAAGATGAAGCTCATTTGACAGGTAATTAATCTTTGTGGAGGTTTTGTAGACAATTTCCAATTTGTGCAGAAAGTATCTTTAAGAATTAGAAGCTTAACTTATATTTTTTTCAAATCACTACTTGATTAACTTGTATAAAACTAATAGGATTTGATTTTCAGTAGTAAGTAAATACAAGTAACACAGTTAGAGTTAATATGTGGCAAGAGTATGGCCACACATTAACTTTGAAATTTGTACAGCTGCATTTGCCGTGACTATTGCTGCTATCTTTATAATACTGTACACTGCCTATTCTGTTACAAGTTACTAGTCTATGTTCTTTACATTGCTTTTATTCATCTGTCATGTGGCACTATTATAACCGAAACTTGACAGTATTGATAACAGCAAATTAATTTGTATTACGCGTTTCACGTCAGGAGGATGTCCCAAGGAGCTGGACAGTCAGGGATTTGGCCCCCAGCTGGGGCTTGGGATAAGAAGCGTAAAGGCTTTGGGGAGGAACTTGTGTTCCCTGGCATGTTTGTGTTACCTCTGGGAAAGGAGCAATAGAAAGCTCCTTTGAATTTTGTTGAATTTTGTAAATTGCAAATTTTGCAAGCGTGCTCACTTTTTAAACAGGTGAACATTTTTACCTCAACTAGAAACTACTGAAATGGATTCTGAACATTTGTTAAATCAAAGGTTCCCATTAAAGTATCTAAAAAAGGAAATAAGAGTTCAATCGATTGCTTCAGATGGCATAAACTGCTGAAGCAATTTGGGATTCGAAATTCACTTTATGAAACTGCTCCAACCAAGTTGTACTAATGCAGTATCTTAAGCTGGTGTTCTGATTAATTTTAGCCTTAGGTTCTCATTCCTATTCTGCACCCCCAAAGTGAATTGTAAGCATACATGTTCCTTTATTCAGAACCCTGACTGTATATACGCAATGTCCAATTTTGATTTATGATTATTGATGAGGAAGAATGAACAGTTCATATGCAAATATTTTATTGCTAATTAAAAGAAACGTTGATTCTTCCTACTGGTTATCCTGGCTCATATTCCTCTTATCCAAATCGCCCCCAAATTGAAATTGACTGCTCACCTCATTTTTGCTTATTGGATGCTGCTGGCACAGATTGACTACTGGTTTCATATTCATAACATTGTTTTTCATGTCTAATCAATTGTAGTTTGTAAAGCACTTTGAAACTTTTGTTTTGCTTGAATACACAATATAAATGCAAGTTGTCATAACATTTTTAATTTCATACAGAAACAATACGGCCCAAAACACCACCTTTTGCGATCAAAACTCAATCGAAACCTAATGAGGTATTTTGTTTTTTATTGACTTTACATTTTCATTTAAAAATTGCTTGGTGTACTGAATGATCATTTTGTGTATTCTGCATTAGTGCAGAAGTTTCAGCGCATAATGATTTTGAAATTCCAGAATCTGTCTGGGGCTACAGAGAACATGTTTTTTTCTTGTATCACTATGTTATTTGTATTGTGAGTTAGGAAGGAGAGAAATTACACAATGAGGTGTGGGTACAATTTATACCTGATAAGTGGGCTGACTTATTCATTGATACAATAGCAAATTGTATCTATATAGTGCCTTTCATGTCAGGAGGCATCCCAAGTTGCTGATAGTAATAAAGTTCCAAGAAAATTTGGGTCACTGCCCTTGAGTGGGAAATAGCTATTTTGCAGAATGTTACAGGACCTATGCAGGCCAGTCAACCCATCAATTCGGTGTTGGGTGTTTTTCTGCTCATTTATACAATAATACTTATTTTCGAGCATCTATCATGGTTCTTTATGTATATTGTTTATTCCATATGTTAGAATTCAGATATTAAGAGTGGATGTAAGATTTCTTTTTAAACCTTTACAGGTTACAGAGTGGTTCCTGTGATGACAAATTACATTTGTATAGCGCCTTTCACGTCGGAAGGATGTCCCAGGGCGCTGGACAGTCAGGGATTTGGACCCAAGCAGGGTGTTGGGATCAGGAGGGAGGAAGGGTAGAGGTAGGAGGATAGCCAAAGGCACAGTTTAAGAGGAGGGTCTTGAGATGTGCCTTGAAGGGAGAACCAGCTTCAGCGGATTGATTGATATGTGTTTGATATGGATGCACCAGAAAATGTCCTGTGCAACGTCTCTTATCGATCTTTCTCCTCCATTCCTGTGGAGAAGTATATGGCATATTTGCCCCACATTGTCATCCCAAGATTGGAACTGCCCATATGGGAAATTGTCACAAACTTTTGATTGAGCTCTCCATGCCACACAATACAACTTATAGGTTATTTAAACAAACCTTTGGGAGACTAGTGGCAGAAGATCATTCATAATTGCCAAAAAGTTAGAGCCAATGGATTAAAAGGAAGTGTACAGTAGGTTTTAATGGGTGTAGAAGTTTTCTCTTGGATGTATAATAATAATCCTTGCATTTGATATAGTGCTTTTCACGTCGGGAGGACGTCCCAAAGTGCTTCACAGAACACACTGTAAAGTGAATTGACTGTATATTTGTGGGCGAACGCGGCAGCCAATTGTGCACAGCAATGTCCCACAAACAGTCATGGATTGAAAATGAACAATTTATTATTGTTTTTTGTTTTGGAGGGATTATTATTAGGCTCTGTGTGGAGTAAGGAAACTTGCCCAAGGTTTTGCCCTGCCTGGAATTGAACTCCGGTCTCTCACTTGCAAAGCGAGTGCTCTAACCACTGAGCTGCAGGACTCCACCTAGGACTTTAACCTAGGTTGAGCTCATTTTCACATTTTTAAGGCTGGTTAATTAACTTAGGCCATTAAGATTGTTTTCTACTCCCCAATTGTATATTTATTTTGAAAGTGTAGGCCTGCCTGATCATTTCAGAAACTTGTTGAACCAAATATCCCAAATCTAAACTATCAAGTTGTTTGGAGATTTTTCTTCTTAAATCTTTTATATATCTTGGGTTATCTAGAAGGGAGAAAAAGAAGGTAGGTTTACTACCAAGTTCAGGTGATGAAATATCCTGTTCTGCTACAACCCTCTGTTTTGTACTGGGATGATGTTTGAGTACGATGTGATAGTGGTTTCCTTTTAATTCTTAAATATAGTGCCAAAGATTTTAGTTCTGTTTTTGTTGTGTATTTATTTTATTTATTTATTTACCATGTAGCAATCCTCTCAAATCTTGTTCATGTTTTCAAGGAGGAAGAAGAGATTTCCACAAGTCCAAGTGCCACAGAATTCATAAGTGATGCATACGATACATGCAATTTGAACCATGAGGATCTGCGGAAAGAAATTGAGCAATTGGTGCTGGATAACAAGGAAGAGGAAGCTGGGAAGGAAGGTAGGTACTGAAATTTCGTGTCACCAAATACTGCACGATGGCTGTAAGTAAGCAGGACCTCAGAATTGTCCATTTTAAAAAAGAAACTGATTTGTTCTGGAGTATGGTCATTCAATTTGCTAAGCAAAAAAAAAGTTTGTCAGCTGTGTATTTGACACATGCACAAACCCACCGCCATACGCTTTACACAACTCAAACCAGAGTTCCACATATTCATGCCATTTCCTTATAGAGATTTTCCTTTGTCTGAAATAGTTTAATCATCTGAAACCATTATGAATACTGTCTGGCACTATATTTAAGAATGAAAGGAAACCACTATTGCATCCTGCTTGCAAATATGGTCCCAGTACAAAACAAAGGTGAAACTCCCCAAGAGTCACATTGTACCTTGCTTATCGATCTTGGACCATCCTAGCCATTAGGGCTTTGAATTACAGGTTTAACAGGAGTTGTTTGGGAACATCTGCTCCAGTAAACAGTCTGTCTGCAAGTCCTATCATTGATCCAGGCTGGGGGGTCTGTTAGACTACAGAGACAGACGATGAGAGCTGATTCAATTCTGATATTCTAACCGAGCCAGTTCATCACTTGCTTGCTTAGAGCCTTGGTTTGGAGACCCTGCTTATTTCTATTCTCTCCCTCAGAGGATAGTCATTGGTTGATCAATCGACATTTGGGAGGTGCATATTTGAGCCTTCACTATATGGATAGTAGGAATCAAGATCTCCTTATGAACTTCTTGCTGAGCAGCACAACTCATCATTAAGTGAGTAAGAGGATTGTCATCATCCTCCTGCTCGCAAACTTCTGACACACTGAGCAATGGTTCCACCAGTTGGAAGTACTGAGCAGCTGCTTATCTCATTCTGTATCAAATAAGATGGATAGGAAGTCCTGAGCAGGTTAACACCTGCTCAAGGTCACTCCTTCCAGCAGCTGTTGCACTAAGTCTGAATCTTTTCATCAGTTGTTCACTGTGGTTGAAGGACCTATATAGGACAACTTCTCATGTGTTAGCTATCTTAATGTTCTAGACATCCAAGTGCAGTTCTGTAAAAAAAAACTGCACAAATAATACAAAGTATTTCTGACAAAAAATCAGTTTTCTTAAAATATTTTCTCATGTATTTTCTTCCTGGATTGTATGCTGGTTTTATTACTAATTTCATATTTTTCCTAAAGTTTTTCTCTCAGAGATACTGCCATTTATTTTGAACTTGAGCTAATGATCAGGGTTCAAGTCAATGAACAGGTTTCAAACTAAAAATTTGATCTGATATTTTCAAGCATTCAGTTTTGGATTCACTTGATTTCTTGTCTAGTCCAAGTTGTTGTGCCTCACAGGTTCTGATTTAGTTTCACTTCAGTCTCCTCACTCCCCGATGCGCCTCCTCGTCTGGCACTGGCCTCCTGCTTGTCCCTCGCACAATCTGCTCGACCATTGGAGGTGGCGCTTTCAACCACTACGCCCAAAACTCTGGAAGACTCTCCCTCAATCCCTCTGCCCCCTTTCTCCCCATTTTCAAGTTCTGCCTGAGAACTTTCCTTTTCGACAGTGCATACGGTCACCTCGCCCCCCCCAACTCGGAGTCAGGCTTCGCCACTGTTAAGCACTCTGAGACACGACCCTGCGTGGTGGGCGCTATATAAATGAAAGTTGTTATTGTTGATTGTGCCAGTAATACAACTGCATTGGATTGACACTGCCTTAATAATAATAATCCTTGCATTTGATATGGCACCTTATCACGTCTTTGAGACGTCTCAAAGTACTTCACAAAATATAATGTAAAGTGGATTGACTGGAAATTTTGTGTGTGAAACGTGGCAGCAAATTGTGCACAGCAGTGTACCATAACAGTCGTAGTTTGAGTGAGTGACCATATTATTATTTTTTGAAGGGATTATTCCCCCCAGAAAAGCGATCCACCAATCGAAGAACAACTGGGTTCCCACTCACTGCTAAGCAAACAGAGGCATGTGTGTGGAGTAAGGAAACCTGCCCAAGGTTAAAATATAACTAAATTTGTACAGAGATATTTACATTTTCTATCCACCTTAACTGAAGGTACTGATTGCCAGATTACATAGTAGATCTTAACTTTGACGAGAAGGGTACATCTCCCAATACTCTGGCCAACAATCCTCCAAATAAAATTGATTATTCACTTCATCATGGTTTGTAAGGCATTGCTATGCAAAATTGACTGCAGGGTTCATGTACAAATACAGTCACTACAGTTTACAGTAAAAACATTTGAAGCGCTTTGAGATGTCTTGACTACATGATAAGGCACTGTACCAAATGCAAGGATTGTTATATTAACTTGTATACTGGACGTTGGCTTTATAGTTGTGGAGTTATCCCTGAAGTATGCAAGTATTGCACGTGTGAGTTTGCTTGGACAGTATACATCTGAAATGAACTGGTAAAAGGCTAATGGTATAAGCTTCCTCAGTCGCTTAATGCATAAAGACATTATCTGATGTAATTCTTAATTGTACAGACCAGAAAGTCACAAGCAGGTTCTGAATCTGTGCTCAATTATTGGATTTCACACAGGATACTGCAGTTGGCCAGGGTAGGGAGGAGGACACATCATCCTGGGGTGTGGGTGTGGCCCTCCATGATGAATCTCTGCTTTTTTGGGTGGAGTACTGAAAGACTACCAAATTCCATGGAACTGTAGCCCAGCAATAGTGCTCCAGGAGAGGAGAAAACTTGCAAAAAGAAAAGCTAACTTATAATTATGGTTTTGTACATTTCGCGTCTGCAGAGGTGCCTCGTGACTGGGAAGATGAGCTACAACAGGAGCTTCAGGACTATCATGTGGTGGTTGAGTCAGAAAGAGCAGATGAAAATTGGGATAAAGAAATCGAAGAAATGTTGCAAGCAGAAGGATGAGCTGCATCGTCCATTCGGTTCCTTTTGTTTTCACCAACGTGACTGATATGAATTTATACTTCTGTTCTTTCGAGGACATTTGAGACCATAAGTTGTAATATTGATTTGGAATATCCAAATTCTGAATGAAATGGACTTTGACAACAATATGTGTTCTCATTTGACCTTTGCAGCCAAATAAGCAGCATATGAATACAACTTGATTTGTGATCATGTGGGCTTCTTCCCCATTCCTTGGGTTTGTACTTGCATACCAGAGTTGTTAATGTATTTGTGGAGCTGTGCAAGTCAAAATAAAAGTGAATGTGGATAAGCCTGACCTGGGCGTAGACATCCTGCACTATCCTTCATTTTATTTCTGTTCTAAAATATGATACAATTATAAGCATATTATTCCTTGGCAAGCTAGCGCTAGATTTGCCAACATTTTGTAGTAATGGAGTGTAAAAGCATGAAAGGTGAAGGTGTACTTTGTTTAAAATATTTGTTTAAAGAAAGGTAGTCTTTGAAAAGAAGTACAAATGTTCTTACTGAGTTCAGATCAACTCATTGTGGGTTTGAAATTTGGGAACTTGCACTAAATCAAGATAAAACTACATTCAAATATTTGTTCACCATCATAATGAATCTTAGCCAGATATTTCCATGCTTTGCAATTTAGTAATAAGTTACCTAAATGGTATGATCTTGTAGAAGAATCTGGTTCAGACGATGAATGACTTTTTAAATGACAAACTAGAAAAAAAAGTAATATCGTATTTAGCTCTTAACATAGTTGCACGACTGCAACCCCACAGTTATTTATAATTTTGCTTTTGTTATTTATATTTTTGATCAAACAAATTCTAAATGGTTTTGATTTTTTCATCTTAGATTGTAAAGACCAAAGTTGTTTTTTCACACATTACTATTAATTTGAATTGTCACATTGCAACATCCATCTTAAAAATTTAATTTTCTTGATTCCTAACTATATTTTCACCTGTTTTGTGCTTCATAACATAGTCAGATAAAGATTGAACAGAAAGATTGTGCAGTTATGCTGTGCAATGATTTTTTACAATGTCATCAAAGAGGGTAGTTGATTGTGGTACAACAGTGCACAATTAATGTCACAGGACAAGGACTTATACACACCACCAAGGCAACTGAGGAATTCTTGTATATACATTTTCCTCTTATTTAAAAAAAAGGTTATTGGGCAATTCAGTACAATATATTTTAAGTTTATAACATTGATCTGTAAATGATTAACCTTAATTATTTGATTCCTTTTTAAGCTGTAGAAAATTGTTCCAAGCAGAATCTAACTCAGTTTTACATGTATCATTTGAAAGATAAATAAAAAATTCTTGATTTTTAAGAGAATCAAAATTTGTTGCCTTTTTTGAACAAAGTACTACAAATTTATTTCAAATGTTTTATACCTATCATAGTTTGAAGTAACTGAGTACATTGTTTAGTTAAAGGGGAAGAAATGTTTTAAGACTTTCTAGTTTTAAGATAGATCGTTAAGTTATTTTATTGTAATATGCAGCAACTCTACAAATTGAGGGAAGACGAAAATAAAGGTTTTATGAAGCTGTTCAATGAAAGGAATGAAAGGTTGAATTTTACCCTTTGGCTGAACTTTCTCCTCCCCTTAAAAAGCTGACATTGAGCCCAAATACACAGGACTAAGAAGTGCAAGGATCAACGTTCTTTATTTTAATTTCTCCTGAGTTCTTGATCTTGCCTGCAGTCACTTCAAGGAGCAATACAGTAAAAATGATCAAGTAGCATTCTGTGTTGGCTCATGAGTTCAAGGAGTTGGGCCTCTAACTCAAACAACACCCCCTCCACCATCAGTTAAAGCCCTGCTTAATCTTAGATTTCTGGAATCAGCTGCAATCAAGTATAAGACTAAAGCATCTGATGGGGAATCAGCACTTTTGCTCTCTTGCAAGCCGGTTCTCTTGATAGGTACGGTGATTCTAGCTGGAAAAAAATGGATACTTTATCAATGGTATTAACCCTGCTGTTAGTGCCTTCTATAGGATACGAAGCAGTCACCTCTGGATTAACACTGATGGCAAGTGCAATCAGATGCTGACTTATAATTCCATGCATTAATCAGTCTTGCAAATACTAAAGCAAGCTGATGACAGGAAACTCTTCACAACTATGGCATCAGCGATCGTGCTTTTCCAAGCAATTGAAAGGCAAGGTTGTCTTAACTACCACTGCAAATATTTCATTATCAGACATCAGGAAGAGCTTGTGTGTTGTCACTGACACACACACACCAATGGTTGTCCAGGACTGACTGGTTTGTCTGGAAACAGTATTTATGTTTCCTGCTTTTCAGCCATCCACCCAACCTGAGAAAATATTCTACTGTATATAAAGTATACTACTTTACACACTACACTGGCAGAGGTTGTTCCTTTATTTTATCCAAAATCAATGTTGCAAAAAGGTTAATCTTTATGATCTGCCTAAGTTGTGTTTTTGTAAAATCATTTAATTACCATGGAAGTTTTTTTTAAAAAAGTGAACAAGCCGATTTACATTTTTAAATAAAAATGAGGAAAGAATTTCCTTATGACTTTTCTTTGCAAAAATTATTGGTATATGGAGATTGGACAACAATTGAAGATTAAAGACCTTACTCTTGATCCAGCAATCTTGTACACTTTTTAATATTTCTGCCATTTTCTCCAATTTCCTTCCCTGTCTTTTCATAAAGGCATTCGCCTCCTGTTTCCATCTTTTGAGGTAGAATTCCATGGATATCTCTTCCATGTAAACATTATTGTCACCATTGATAAAGACTATGCAACCAAAGGGTATTACAGCTGAGTCACGATCCTGTCCTCGCTACACATCCACTTACACCATCTAGCAGAAAGAGCTTTGGATGATTTTCTTTCCCCTCTGTAACCTGAGGATGCCATTAAAGGCAGATGTAGTGTCCCACCTGAAACCAGATAATTTAGAATAGGCTGGGATACAAATCTATGACTTTTTGATCACTTTATGACCTATCCAGCCTTGAATTTAATCTATCAGAAGAGATCTTGTACCCTTGTTATAGGATTTTGTGCAACAACTTGCATTTATGTAACATTTTGTTGTCTAACATTTCTAAACGCTTTACAGACAAGTGTGGATTGGGAGCAAGTACGAGGATGTTGACCAAAAGAATGATCATGGAGGCATGTTTTAAAGTAGTTTGAATGCGGGGAGAGGATACAATGCAGAGATTTTGAGTTGCAAGAAGGGGCATAGTGAAAGCTTGAGAAGCAATTGTTAGGCTCCTAAGAGTGGCATAAAAATCACAATATGCAGTGATAATCCTTCCTAAAATAATAATAATCCTTGCATTTGATATTGTGCTTTTTCACATTTTCTCGACGTCTCGAGCTTCACAGAATAGACTGTAAAGTGAATGACCGTATATTTGTGGGCGAAACGCGGCAGCCGATTGCGCACAACAGTGTCCCACAAACAGTCGATTGAAAATGACCAATTTATTATTGTTTTGTTTTTTGGAGGGATTATTATTAGGTGTGTGGAGTAAGGAAACTTGCCCAAGATTTTACCCTGCCTGGAATTGAACCCAGATGTCTCACTACAGGACTCCTCTTGCCTCTGAGTTAGAAAGTTGTGGGTTCAAGGCCCACTTCAAGGTGACTTTGAGCTCATAATCTGGACTATCACTTGAATCCAGTACCAGGAAAGAGCTGGATTTTTTGGAGGTGCCATCCTTCAGATGAGATAGTTAAATGAGATTGTGTCTGAATGAGAGATTTTTTAAAAATACTTTCAGCTACGCTGCTACCACTGAGATTTATCTTCTAACACATGGAGTTGATGCGCAAATTATAAACCAGGGCATTTCTTTGAGGTAATCAATAATTGGTAATGTTCATAAACTGGATTTGCCGCATTTATTCAGTCTTTATTCAAGACTGTTCGTGAATGCTGGAAGTCATTTGATTTGAAAGATTCACAACACCTTTAATTGGTAATCCCATTATACAGTCACTACACTTTACAGTAAATCCTGTGAAGTGTTTTCAGATGTCCTCTAAAAGTTGCTTTGTCAAATTCAAGTATTATTATCCAAGTTTTGGAAAAGATTTCAGTGCATGTGAAATAGTACTGAAAAACATTGTTATTAAAGTAATAAAGACACCTGGCTCCACGTTAGAAGTAGCCTTCCTAGTATAATCTTACTGGAATAATAGCTTCAAAAAAATAAATCATCACCCTATTTTATTCTTTATTTTCTCTTCTCATTCTAGCCTGTTGCTTTTACAATTTTAATTGACATTATTTGTATCTAGTATTGTATATTGGAACTTTTCCTACACTCTGTGGTCCCCAAGCCTTGGCTGTTGCCAACTTACACCTAATACTTTCCAGAATTAGGTAAGCAAGATGCATCCCTCCAGGGAGATCGTGCGCATTCCAGTCCAACAATCTATTTCTGGGATTTCCATGTGTAGGTGGGATGCATGGATATCTAAGGTTGGTTTGGATACTCTTAAGCACGGTAATGGGTTTCCTCATGTGTCAGACATCTGGCTGACCACCCCAAAAAATATATTATGTTCCAGACCCTCAGCTCGGGTCCGTAACTCTGGCAGTCCAGCACCTTGGGACGTCCTCCCGACGTGAAAGGCGCTATACGAATGTAATTTTGTTTTTCTTTTCCTGTGGCACTAGGATTCCACAGTTCATTCTGCAATGAGGACTTAAGTGTTAAACATTGGATCCAAGTTTGCCAAAAAACAGGCTTCAAGGGTTGTATTTTTAGTCAAACATGATTGAAAATGTTGAGATTGGATCCAGCTGCACCACAGACTGGTTGGGAAGGGAGAACTTTTCTTTATTTCTGTAGAAATTACAGATATCAAGAAAGCAGAATGAGATGTTTTCACTTCAGATTATTTCAGTATTATTGAAATCAGACGTATACTGAAAGAATTTTCTTCTGTACCTCCACAGTCTACTCCTCTTTCAGGTGCTGATTGTCTCTGTGATGTATGGATGCCTACACATGTATGTTGCTTCCACCAAGTTGCTATTCCTTCATGTATCAAAATGCAGTAAATTAGGTTATTCATCCATGTGGGCGAGGAGAACTTGATAACTAAACCTACTACACTTCTTATCTGACGCATGGAAAATGCACAGTTTGCAGGGTGGGGGGTGGTCACTGCATAATGATCCTTGATGATTTTCTTCTGCTTTGGGCATGGAGGCCAATATGAACACTTCTGTTGTCACCCTCCTATAAGAATTTTGTGTAATTGCCAATTTGGTCTGTTCATTAAAGTGGTGCTTAGTATTAGAGAATGAAATGGAATGGTAATAATGGTTGAAAGTGGCACTTAGCTTCAGGGGTGATGTCCTGCAATTGATAGTAGTTGAGCATCAACACATGTAACAATCCAAAGCTGAAAACGCTCATACAAATAATCTTTCACCAGGATCCCAGTGGGAAGAATCCCTGCTCCGAATTTGCCCCTCCAAGTCCTGCCAATGAGCCAGGCTGACTGGACTGCCATTAGCAATGCCTTTAAATAATGTGGACCTCCCTTCACCCCTGGTTCAAGAATTGGAATGTCAATGTGTCACAGAGAGCTGACTTAATTTTGAGACCAAACATGTCATCTTGGAGCTATCTCAGCTCCAGGAAGACCCCATCTACCTCCCCCTTAGGAGGATAATAATGTTTCAACATGATAGTACGTTATTAAAAAGAAACTTCTTTCTTCCATTTTCTTAGAAATGTAACCAGTTTGCCTTCCTTGACAGAAAGTTTTTTTTATATTTGCTTTTCACTAAAGTCTCTGAATCTCTCTCCCTGCCACCGACATAAAATAGTGGTGTTCCATTCTGATTTAGAGAGTGATCACTCACTCGCACAAGTAGTCAAGCTGCTGTCACCCTGAAGCCATTCAGTAACCTTACTGTTAATAGACTGGATAATAGAGCACACAGCAATTTAATAATAATCCTTATATTTGATGTGGTGCCTTTCACATCGAAAATGTCAGAAACTGCTTTATAGAATGTACTGTAAAGAGCTACTTTGACTTCATATTTAAGATGAGTTCAGTATTATTGAAATCAGACCTATATGAAAAAAAATATAGATGAAACCCGCATGAAACCGATCACCTACCCCTCCTTATCTCCCAGCTCCACCTCCTTGCCCCACTACTCACCGACATCATAAAAAGCTCCCTGTCCACTGGTACTGTTCTCACCCCATTAAAAACAGCCGTCATCCTTCCTATCCTTAAAAAACTCTCCCTGGACCCATCTCTGCTCTCAAACTACAACCCCATCTCCAATCTCTCTTTCCTTTCTGA